AAAGTTGCTGACCTTGACTGTATCAACAGTTATATCCTTGACTGGAGTAAAACGCCGCACACGGCGTCACCTAGTCCAAGAGATGTTACACCTGCCGCCGAAAGAACATACTGGGAGCGAATCTCAGATATGTGGCAGGACATGAACAATAACAGGGATATTGATATCCGTCTGTTTGTCTCAGTCAAGCAGTACTATTCAACTTTTTCTAACCTTGACCTATGGTTGAGTCCCTCTGACAAAGATTGGCACAGCCCTTTGGGCTTCACGATACAACCAATCCTTACAAAAGGGAAACACAACCGGTCAGATGCCCAGGTTCAGAAGATCGCTGACAAGCGAAAGGCTTACAAGCAGCGTAATGCTGAATACTGGGGTTACAACGATTCATTCGTTTACTCATCCGGCAACAGCTGGTACGACAAATCGCAACCATCAGGTAGCCATCACAGATATGGAAGATTCTGGGAATGGCCACAGCCTGAACGTCCCAGCGAGCCTGAAGGTCCTCCTCCAAGAAGGAACCAGGAATCATCGTCCTCTTCACAACAAGATCTACCAAGATCAAGGTCCAGGCCTCAAAGAACCAATATTGTTGACAAGCTCAACATGTCTTTGGAAGAGCTGGATGGACTAGAAGAAGAACCGTCACCAACAAAAAGTGACATCGAAGAACACGAAAGAGAAACATCAAACTTGATGTCTGCTCAGAGAGATGAAGAGGAACAAGAGGACGAATCCTCCAGCCGGAGGAGAAGAAGGAAGGCATCGCGTCCACCGTCTGCTCCGAGCGGCAAGGCACTCAGAACAGCTGCTACAGCAGCGGGGTTGTCGGGCTGGTTCGGACACCGCAACCGAGGTGGAGCAAACGCAGAGTCTATCAAGACTGATGAAACTTCACTTCCAAACTCACTAACCAGTGAGCAGGACTTCTCCGTCTTCAGCATCGCGTGGAATGTGTTTCTGCTGCTAATGGGCTTACACTGGATGTGGAAGCAGATTACCAGGCCTCCTATCAGATGTATGGAGCGCCAACAACCAAAATCAAAAGCAGCAGCGAACCAAAGAGTTCCATTCCTCGAACCCGAGGATGAACCGCAGACGCGTGAACCTTTAGGACCCAACAGGGTCAATTCCGGAGAAACAACTGATCTGCGACCTATCTGGCATACTTCCCGAAGCGAAGTCTACCATCTCTCAGACAGCTGTTACCAGCTCAAGCAAGCAAGAGATGTTTGCAAGAAGGTGCTGTGCAAAAACTGCCTCCATGCAGTACAAGTTGCGGAGATTCGCAGGAACGATCCTTTCCAAAGAGGTGATACACGTCCACGTGGCACCGAAAGAGACATTGAGCGCTTCCAGACCTACGATGATGCAAGTACCACTCCTCATATGACGCAATTATTCAAAGATGCCTTGCATGCACAAATGGCCGAAGAAGCCATGCAGATTACCTATACATCGATCCCCAAGGGATCCCCGGCAAAAGCCAAAGGTACATCTGCACTCTCAAGTGCCGCATCGTCATCAGCGCCCAAGGCAATGCCACCAGGGCCTAACAAGGCAAACATGTCACCTCCACCTAAGAGTCCTCCGCCAAAGGCGAAAGGAACAGTACCTTCAGATCCTCCAAGACCAAAAGGTCCTACCAGAAGAGGAGGTCAAAATCGGCGCATTCAACGAAAGGCAGCTAGAGAAGCCCACAACAGTGGACTCTGCACCTATGCAGACGCTGCACTTAACGAAGCCAATCAAGGCCAGGCAATTAACGTTACGTGCCGAAACATGGCAGCAAGACACGTCAGCTCTATCGATGCAACGGTAGAAGCAGCCGGCCAGTTTACACAACGCGTGCTACAGCACGTAGAAACATATGATGAAGAGGAACCGTGGAGCACGGAGTTCCTACCAGTCGTGGAAGTCCTATTCAGGAACTTAAGCGGCGACGAAACAACTGTCATACATGACAATCAAACGGTAACTATGCCTCTTGCGAAATACACAGACCTCCTCAGAATCGCACAATCATTGCGAAGCTCTATCCAGAGAGACAAGGAGGAAAGGAAGGAACATCTTGACACCATCCAAGATACTCTATCCAGAGTGGAAATCCTTCTAACAGCACTGAAGGACTCAAGGACAGTCTTTAACCAATTGGTCCATTCCTCACTAGAGATAGAGCGAAGAAATAACAATCTCAAAAATGTCCTCGAGACACTCTTTGACGACCAAAGCTCTGAGGAAGACCAGTCAGAATCTGACAATGAAGAAGTCCTAACTCCTTCTGCAGCACAGTACTGGAATAGCCTTTATGCCCACGCCTTATCTCCTTCAGGAGATGAAAGTGAAAGATCATGGGCGTCCTCAGACGGACAGCTTGAAAGAAGAAGGGCTGAACGGGCAAAGGCTAAGCAGCCGCAACCGGCTAAAGCCAAGGCAACTCCAGTCAGCTCACAAGCTGCTCCAAAGGCCGAGCCAAAGGCGACAACATCCAACCATGGATATGATACTGCAGACGCCGCCTTCACCAGGGCTGAGAACAGATTACTCGGAATCTTTTCAAGTTCCGAAGAAGATCACTCAGACCCGGATGAGCCACATCCGAACGTCTATGCTCGAGCCTATGATCCAAACCTGGATCCGAATCTGAGATAAGAAAATTCTCAGAGTTTCACAACAGTGAATCACAGGGCTCTAACAAGAGCACAATGAAGGGCTGCATAATTCGGTAGAGAACATTACCAGACCTGATCCTGTACAGATGATCTCTCTGACCAACATGCATGAGTGTGTGCAAAAGGAGTGACCTCAACAGTGTACTTCAGTGCTATACCTAGCATAAACAATATGCTGTTTTTATAATGAGTCCAAACTCCGCAACTGTGACAGTGGGCATAACAGTATATGTGTGAATGTGCGGCCATGCTTCCGGTAAAAGAAAATTAGTGTCTGTTTGAAACCATAAACCTCTAAAGGGGTAGCTCTAACAGGTACCTACAGCAATGGCTGCATGCTCATACATATACATTCCGCTGCCCATTGGCTCACAGTGGTTTTACCATATTGAGACAAGACAAGCTCTCCTTGCGTAGCAAGACAAAACAACTACTGTCCGTGTGCAGGGCGCTGCCCTTTGATCCTTAGGGAATAACTGGTCATACACCTCCTCACAAGGAGTATCCCTTGGGGGTGTATCGGCACAGGGGGGAGGGGGAGCGGAGGGGGGAGGGGGGGAGGGGGAGGGCGGGGAGGGGGGGAGGCCTGCAAATCAGGTAAAATGAAGGGAAGCCGGGCAAGGGGGTGGCAAACGAATGCAAAAAGCGGGTGTCTCCAAACTGTTGGACTGTAAGAAAGGTGGAGGGAAGCTGAGGTAACCCTCAAGACGCCTGGGTGTGGCCTCGGCGGATTATATACACATGGTAAATCCTCCATGGACAGTCGTTGCTTGCCATATCCACAGAGTTTCAGGTCACAGCTGCAGGGCCCTGGTTCTGATTCCTTATTTTTTATGTTAGCATTGGACTTGTGTGTCTGTCGTTTTGATTCGGCCAGGCCGCGAAGACCTTCAAGCGCTTCAGGCTCGAACACGCGCTTGGCCTGATGGGAACAGTGAAGCTTCAAACCGCTGCGATGGATGTTTGGGCAGAGAGCTCGAGCTAATTCCCCAAGACACTGCAAGTTCGGATGGCAGGCCTGACTTCAAATGTGGAAGCCGCGTTCCGCTGCTCCCCGATGAGGACAGTCTCTGCCTGTGTGAGTGGCTCTGTCGGAATCCCCGAAACAAACGAGCCAAGTGTGGAAGTTTAGTGTCGTTTGGCCCGAAAGCTTCATCCAGGAATGGAGAACGAGAAATGCTGGAGCTATAGCGATCGAGACGTCGTGCACTGTCCAGGGTTTTCGATCAGACAATGGCACAATACAAAGATGGCAACAACAACGGCGCAATGCATGTTCAATACTGCGAGCTCCTACAAGAGCGAGACCGAGAGCGGTTGCAAGGAAAGGCCATGCTCGATGCAAGTGAAGTGATCCATGGAGACCCCGAGCACTGAAGCAAAACCATGAAATGTCCGAATGAGACTGAAACTTCGAGTGTGATCCTTCAGTCCTAAGAACAGATCAAGGCCGGCAAGAGGTGATGGTTGCCCTCTGCTGAGCGCTAACCAACGCCTCAAATCATGCTGGATTCCGGTTGAGTGCATGCCGAAGTGCAGCTCCGAAGTCCCATGCCACCACGTAGTTGTGTTACTGCACGTTTCGTTTGTGCGTGATGCACGTCCGCGCCCCGAGACTATGCCACGGAAAGGAAGTGGTGGAGTGCGATCGACTCAGCGTCACGCCCTGCTGCAGCGCGTGACTGGCCTGCGGTGGAAAGACAGTGAGAGGTAGACAGTGAAGCTTTCGATGTCGTACATTTGTTTCAGGTAGGATCGTGCTGTAGGGTGTCGTTTGTCGCTTGGAAGTCCCCCACTTAGCCGCAGCTTAGCCGTGCTTGTTACTCAAAGCAACCTTTGATGCTGCGATTTACCTGCTAGGCAACTCTAGATGATATGTCAATGCCCCAACAAGCACCTGATAAGCTGACTTTGTGGGATCCGGACTGCCAAGGTTGGGTTGGTGCGGGAAGACCAAAGGACACTGACGCATGGCACGAATGGACCGGGCTTAGGGGAATTGCAGTTCTGCGCTTCGGGGGTCGGGTTTGGATCCATGCTGTGGGAACCCAGGAGACAACAAAGGCTGTGTCGGTTCTGACATGGATTTGCAGATTGGCAGCAGCGGGACAAGTAGATTCTGAGTAGGAGTGTTCCGCTGGCATAGACCATGGACCTACTGCGCATGTCTGTGGCATTCTGCGACGCATCCCGACTAAGAGTCATTGGCTGCCAGGCAAGTGCGCGACCTGCATTGACTATCGCAAGGAGGGTCAGAACCAGATCAACTCCAAGCGTTGATGCTCCTTCGCGGGACGCGAGCTGCCAAAGGGGATGGACCCGAGAATGCTCGAAAGTACAATCTCCGGGGTCGGCAGCATTGAAGTCAGCTCACGTGACACCCAGTCCTGGATCAGACTCTCCAAACGAGAGATCGGCCAGCGTCTGCTTGTGACCCGGCTGCCATCGAGTAGTGATCCAGTCGTCTAGAATATTGCAAGTTATAGAGCTGTTCCTTTTCATCCACGCCTTGCTTTCAGCATGACCGGGTCCCAAGCACAAGAGATGCGCTTGCAGCGCACCTGCAGCCTGCAATCCTGAGGGTCGAGGCGCGAAGTTCAAAAACCCTCGGCAGATGTTCTGAACGATTTCAGCTGCGAGTACGAAACAAGAAGCGAAGACGCCGCGGATGTTTGGGCGCCTCAGGCCGGCGGCCTTGCAGACTCTCTACCCAGGGGCGGCAGGCTACAGCATCGAGCTGGCAGCCATGGGCTTACCGCAGCTATGCGTCCTAAAAAACCGCCGAACAGTGCAGGGCTCGAAGCGGACATGCTGCGTGAGGCGTGCAAGGAATCTGCGAATCTTAAGTCCTAAGGCGCCATGACCGATACGATCTCGGGTTAAGTCGTCCCGCATTATGTAAAGTCGTCTCGCGCGGCGCGCTCTTGGTAATTCCACATGCAAGCTCAGAAGGCAATTGCCTGGAAGAAGTCTCGCAAGGGGTCAGGCACATCCGGGGGTCCGAACAGCAGAGCCAAGGTCTGCACAACCAATACGCACAGGTTCTGGGCTTGCAGCAGCTTCGTGCTTCGGCCCCCTTGACGGCTCGTGGTCGGTGAGATAATGGCATGGGCATCGCGGATTGTGGAACACGGAGAAGGGCACCGACAGTCACAGTACTCGTCTCAATTTCCTGGTAGCTCGTGCTTGTGTAATTTGCAGTTTCGTCGTGTGTGGGTCGACTTTATGCGAATCTGGGCGTGATCGTGGACTTCACACGGGGTCGACCTAACCCCAGCACCTCTTGCTTCCCAGTCTCAACGCTCTCTGGCTGAAAGTGTGGACCCTAAAGTTTAGCCTTGTTGTCGCTGGTTACCTGAGTCGAATCGAGTGTGCCTTCCTACTACGACGCTGCGAACAACCTCGTCTGGCTGTGTCCGAGTTGCGAGAGCGTAAACCCTAAACTTTTGGATAGTTGAGGGCACCGGACTCCGAGGCCTCAAAGCTGGGCCCCGGCTTCCCCGGCTTCCAGGCCCTGCTTGCTGCAAGAAAGCACTAGATATGAGATAGTTTTTATGGTTCTTCAAGAAGACAAGTTTCAATTGCCGCGGTCGCCCGTAGTATATGACCACGGTGTAGCCATTTTGGCCCTCAGTAGTTGGACACAGAAGTTTGGAAGAGCCGGACACGATCACTGACCGCCTTGTCCGCAACGAGTAGGGCTGTACCAGTGTCATGCATCTGTCTTGTCTTACCTGGCAGGCATATCACACTTCGGTCAAAGTTGATGACTTGGAGTATTCCTTCAGTGGCGCGCGTGCCCCAGACTCCAGACAGTCACCAGCTCAGGCTGAGTGTGCGGGCTTACCAACAAAACTGTTGAGGACGGCATAGTGATTGGACGCGGCTTGCCCAGCCACGTCCGCATGGCCGACAAACCGCAGGCATCAAGGGCTGCTTGAAACCGTTGCTTTAGCACATCATGCTGCTGTGTACTGCAGGTCCTCTACATGGGCTTGACCAGGATTTCTGGGGAGGACTTGAAGGAACAGTTGGGACGCTTCTTTAAGCGAGGCCGGCCCGGTTTTGAAGGTAATCTCCGAATTTTGCCTGCAGTGTTTTTGGAAAGTTCTCCACCTGTTCAAAAGCACTGGATGGGACCGGGTCTGGGTGCAGGCACTTACGACCTCCTGAGGACTCGTTGCGGTTCTTGTCCTAATGCCACGAAGTATCGCCGGCCGACACGCCGCGAGGAAGAACTGCAACTCTTTCACTGATTGCGCCTTGTTCTTCCTGCTGGACCGGGCGTCGTGCGATGTTGTGCCTGGTGTCACGATGACTTTTCTGATGCGCAGCCTGAACTAAGACCACTTACGTATCTAAAAGGGCTTGCTGCAGTCTGCAGATTTTGGGTGCCTCTGGTAATTCTGTTCAGGACTCACGACTGGATCCGGGCTATCGAGGCCTCTTTGGTGTGATCGTGGTTCGCTGACTTACCGACATAGCCTGAAGGCACACAACTTGTCCATGCATGAGGCCATGTAAGAATGTCCATTGTGCATGTTCGCAACTAACAACTAAGTCCTTGCAGAATGATCTGACCAGAAGCAGAAGTAGTGTTAGAAGCATGACCAGGGATCGTCGTAGTGGTAGGAGTACTCGTGGTGGTGGTGGTGGTGGTGGTGGTGGTGGTGGTACTTGTATCACAGCATTCGCGCACAAGTCATGCTGAGCGAGGCATCTAACATGCGTGTATCATAACAGGCTCCGAGCGAAACGACAGCAGGAGCGAAGAGTCCCCTGAGCCAGGTCTGGAGCAGTTGGGCCACATGGCCGATCGGCAAGCAGGCCGCTTTCTGCGCGAAACTTAAGTGTGGGAATGGAGCAAAGAGGCCTCGGATACACAGGCCGCACTATGATCCAAACCGTAAAGAGTTCAGGGTTTTGTGGGGCTTCGACTGGCAACCTCTCATCATGTACATCGTTGAGGAGTAAGCCGCGTCCGTTTGGGCTTTTCAAACCAATGCTCTAGCACGACATCCCCAGTAAGAGAAGTCTGAAGCAGGCTTCATCTGTCCTGGATGTCAGCATACGGCTCGAGCTGCAAGCAATTTGCTATATCCCGGCTCCTGAAAGGACGGTCACGATGACAGAAAGGCATGAGCACGTGTCTGTGCTGCCCGTGGTGAGGACCTGTGGCAGTTCAGTGGAGGCTCAAGAATTGCAGTCTGTTGCGGGGTCTTCAGACAAAGGTGCTTCTGGGCGCCGGTGGCTCGTGGAAATGATCGTGCTCAACTTGGTCATGATCATGTGGAACACTGACAACATGGTGTTGCCGGCTGTCTACACAGAGATTGCCAGACATTTCAACGCCTCGCCGAAAGACCTGGCCTCTTTGGGCCTAGTAAGGGGTATCTTCGAGTCGGTGTTCGCCTTTCCATCGGGTTTCTTGGCTGACAAGCTGCCCCGGCCGTTGCTTGTGTGGCTGGGGGCGGTGATCTGGGGTGCTGCCTTGGTGGGGGTCACCTTCTCCCCGAGCTTATCCTGGATGATCTTCTTCAGAGCTCTCAATGGTGTTGGCTTGGGCATCGTGCAACCGCTGCTGTTTAGCCTAGTTGCTGACAAGAGCCATGCAAGCGGTCGTGGCAAAGCCTTCGGCTTCCTGCAGTTCTCTGGCAATATGGGGCAGACGGCTTTCACTGCCCTCGCAACTGGCATCGCATCTTACCGGGTCTTGTCGATGGCGGGATGGCAGTTTGCTCTGGTGATCGTCGCTCTTTTGAGTGTCGTGGTGGGCACTCTCTGTGTGCTTTTGGTTCGGGACCACCGCGACCAGGACCCTCGAAGTATGATGGCAATATTTCGTGAGGAGACTCCGAAGCTTGGGAGTATCGTTTGCCTTCCGACCTTCATCATCATCATTGGCCAAGGGGTCTTTGGGACTGCCCCGTGGTTCGCTTTCAGCTACCTGACCATGTGGCTCGAGTTGAATTGCTTCTCTCACTCACATGCTGCTGCCATCATTGCTTGCTTCAACATCGGAGGGGCTCTTTCTGGAATTGTGGGGGGCGTGCTCCTGGATGCCGTGGTGCGGCGCTTCCCGGATCACGGGCCGCCAGGACTCGCCCAGCTGGCGGTCTTCGCGTCTGTCCCGCTCTTTGCCACCATCCTCTTCGGGCTCGGTGGCCTGGACAACACGAGCCCCAGCAGTTTCGTAGTCTTTGCGATGATCTTCATGGTGACGGGCACTATGATCTCTTGGTGTATGGTCATGAACAACAAGATGTTCAGCGACATCGTCCCCAAGGAGGCCTACAGCTACGTCTTTGCGCTGGACCGAGTTGTCGAAGGGACCCTGGGGGCCTTGGGCCAGCCGCTCGTCGGCTGGCTCACCGATGATATCTTTCATTTCAATGCGAAGGCAGCCAACTCACAAGACTGTTCACCGGACAATGCCATGAGGCTCGGCAAGGGGATTTTCGCCGTGTCGGGCGTGGCATTCTCTCTGTGCTTCATGTTCTACGGCATGGGGCATTTCACCTACCCCAGGGACCGGAAGATCGCAGCTCACAAGCTCAGCCGCAGCAAAGGCTCTGCTGAGAGCCACGGGCAGGCGAAGTAATTCTCGCAAGCAAACCAGTCCAACGCAGACTCAGCAACTGCACGCCACGCGTCCCTGCGAGCATGTACAGGTGCTTGCAGGCACAAATTCGTCAGAGGCCAGGCAGAACCTAAACGGCCTCTGAGTCATTCTTGCGGTGCAGGCACGTAAAGGCTTGCCTCGGTCCTGCCTTGCCGGGCAGCCTGCACTTGCAGTTTGAAGTGTACAGCAACGTAGGGCCGCTCAGAAATCTGGGACACATTTTGGTCTTCTCCGCATCTGGAGAGATCAGTGGGCTTCTCGCCTGAAAGCATCGCTCTCGGACGTAGAATTCTGGAGCGAAATAGACCTGGTGACTTAGACACCTGAAAAGTGCTGTGAGGGTCGAAGTCCCGTGCTGCACAGCTGATGCAGGTATCGTTCAGGCAATCACAGAGGGCGGCTACCGTCCCAATCCGAACGCAGATAAATTCAGCGCCGCTGCCTAAGCTGCATCAATCTCACCAAGGCCACCGAGTCGCGTACCCTGGTTTTACAGCGGATGTTCACTAGATTGTGCAAATTGAAGCATTGCTCCCTGAAGCTTCATGATCATGAGCACAAGCCCTCAAGCCCGCACTGCTCCAAGCAAGGCGGGGTCAGCTTCAAGATGCAACAGGCCGTAGGCGTTGTTAACTCGCTGAGGTGGAGTTCACGATTTCAGAAATCGACAAGATCAAGTCGTCATCGGCTTTTGGACTGCGGTGACGCAGTTCGATGGTTGCCTTTGCCGTCGGCGCGTTGAGTGAAACCCGCGTTCGCAAAAAAGGTGAAGGAAGCAAGTGTATCCTCGTGCGCGAGACATGGTGCAGGTGACGGGCCTGACGCGACTGGGATTTGAACACGATGCAAGTTCTAGGTTACTTTCCCAAGTTCCAGACTTCGCTCGGCCTGTCAGACTTGGTACAGATCGTCCCAAGCTGCAGCATGAGGAAAGATTGAGAAAGCGATGAAAACGATATAGGCGCAGTTCATCTATACACTCATGTAGGCTACGGGCGTTTGCTGTTGGTGGCGTGCTGCACTTTTTAGGTACACCGCCCAAGGCGTGTGCTCGATGCACAAGTGTTTATTGGTGTGACTCACACAGCTGGGAGCACCCAATTCGCCTTGCAAAGGCGGTGCAAGCGTAGTCTGCTAGATTTGCAAGGAGTCGAATCTACCTAGTTGCCACGTCTTGGCACCGAACTCTCAAGTGACAGTTGCCTGGAAGGGTCGCAAAATCACCGCGTAGCCAGCGGAAACCGTGCCAGCTGTAACACCAGTGGACAAGATTTTCAGCATGATTGCCAACCTGGCAATGTTGCTCTCTGCGGCAATCGGCCCATGCTGTAGTAGTGCATGGTGTGAAAGGAGGCGGGTTGATAGTCCCCGGCATGGCAGACGTTGCAGACAGTGCCTCGGTTATATTCGGGGCAGCACTCATTTTCACCCTTATAGCTTCGCTTCCGTACTGGAAGCAACTTGACATACTCTTAAGCTGGGTGCACCTTTTTGCCTGCAATCTGTGTCTCGTTCGTGGCGTGTCACAGCGCCCGAACAATGCAAGAGACGCCCCAAGGTGATCTGCCGCAGTTTATGGAGGGCAGGTATGACATTTTCGAAAAGAATACCTTCCTGGACTTCCCCGCTCCAAAGCCATTGATGCTGGAAAAGGCTCAAACAGATCCTCCGCCTGGGCTGGAGGGACTGGGACTCTGCGGGATTTCCAGCAAGTTCGTGTCAGAAACGGACCGGTCCGAAGATTCCACCGCAGCAGACGAGTCAGAGGCCGCTCCACCGCCTCTACCCCTGGAGGTCTTTGTGACTTACCGCTGGTTAGTAGGGAATGGAAGAATGGTAGAAATAGTAGTTATAATTGTACCCCATTCCTCAATTCCCTACTAACCAACGGTAAGGTGACTCCCGACTGCTTCGAGGATCCGGAGTTTTCTAGGCCGCTCTCTGCGGCAGCGCCGAGCTTCATCCCCATCCCTGGGGCCGGGGCCCTTGGGGCGCTTCCGATGCATGGCCTCGCGAACCTGCCGGGGATCCCCGATGCCTTTGTTGGCCCTCATTCGATGCCGGAGCTCTACCGGCCAAAGACGCAGATCCTCTTGGATGCTTGGCAAAGCACCTCTTGGCGCCTTGTTGTCCACGTGAGGTTTGCTTTCTGGGCTCATTGGACGGCTTCCTACTGTCACTAAGCTTCAACCTTAACTGGCTGCAGCATGAGCTTCGTGAGCCGTTGAGGAAGAGATGCTAGCACCCTCTGTGGTGCCAGTCACAGAACTGGCTACTGCAAGGTCGCGGCGCTGTGGGAAGTTCTTTCTGTTGTTTGTTGCAGAGGGCCTTCACCAATCTTGCGTTGGGCTTCGAAGTCTAGGTCCTATACTATACTATACTATAATGTTCTATACTATAATATTCTATACTAGTCTGTACTATACTGTGCTTCTTCTATACCCCCAAAGACTTCGGCACTTAAGGCATTTCGCCGCGTGTGCAGGTTCCCCCCGCCGCCACCAGCCATGCCGGCGCCGGTCTTGGCAGAGCCTCCTTCCCCGAAGGCCGGAGTTTCCGAACGTCAGTGGGCCAGTTGCTGCCTGCTTCTAGTATATTATATTATAGTATAGGATATTATAGTATAGAATATTATAAGTTATAGTGTAGAATAGTATAGTAAAGTATATATTATAGTACAGTCTGGTATAGGACCTGCATATTTGCGCATTTCATGCTGCTGATCAGGTCCCTGCAGAAGCTCCGGTCGATGGGCCCCTGCCGCCGCGCTGCGATCTTCAAGTGGGGCAGCTTGTCTGTGAGGCCCCACAAGTTAGCTGGGGCTGGACATGCCGCGGGACTGGGATGCTATGTTGTTGGCCTGGGCAGGAACCTGCTCGGGGCATTTGGGATGCGGCAGCCTGAGACCTGTAGACTTCCGATGTGGCTGTGAAGCACATATTGTTGCCGGCAGATATTCTGAGATGCTCCAGTCCAGGTTCACTGGAGCGCGGACAGCCGGCAGTGACTCGGGCCGCAGCGGCAAAGGCGTCCGCTTCTTCCTGTAGCAACTAAACCGGCCCCTCTTTGTGTGAAAAGCCGGCCCTTGGACCTAAGGCTCTACACCACGACAGCCGTTGCCTGAGAAAGTCGTTGAGTGTGTGAGTGGGGCAAACCCCACATTCATGGACCCAGGTGCGCCTTGTCTCGAGCATCTTCATGCCCGGATCCTAGGCGAACTGGGTGGCTCACTCGCTAGCAGCGTCCCCTGCTCGCAGGAACTTGTAAGACTTAGGCCTTTCAATATCTCATTGTATGCCATAATATAGTATAACTACATATCATAGTATAGCATATGTATTGTAGTATAGTACCACATGTTATAGTATAGCATAGTATAGTATAGTATAGGATATTGTGATATTATAGTATAGCATAGCATATTATAGTATAGTATAGTATAGAAAAGCGACGCCGTCTCCGCGGACCCAGGCTGGAGGTCGAAGGTAGCAGCCTACCCTTCAAGGCTCCCTTCAGTCTTGTCTTTACAGGTTTGAGCTGCTTCGGCACTGGGTAATGTAGGAACGGATCGTGAGTTTCAGGTTTAGAGTTTCAGGGTCTCGGAGTCTCTTCACGAGTACAGCCCGGCGCGAGTCGGCTGTCCTGGCGCCACACTGCGAGCCAGTTGCAAAACGGGTTTCAGGGTTCTGTTTGCTGGGGTTTTTCGGTGAATAGAGTCCACGAAAGTACCAACCTGATTAAGAAATCCTGGGCCAAAAAACCTAAAAACAGTAGGCTTCATAATATAAGGAGCCCTAAAGGCCCAAGGTTTCTTAATCAGGTTCCTACATGAATGTCCTCGCTTGGGATCTGATCTCATGGTCCTTCGGAGCAGGTTGCAGGGCCTTTTCGCCACGGCTGTGTAGCTGTAGCACAAGCTACCCGTGACCGGCCCATGGGCAGGTGTTCCTGCATCCGAAGGCCAGGGGTCGAAGCTGCACTTGTGCGGTAGAAGACAAGTTCTGAAGCAACTGCAAGAATGCAGAATCGCCAGCTAGGACCCTCATATCTCACTACAAGAGTTCAGACTGAGATCTTGTGCAGCCGTTTCGAAATGCCGACAACTCGCGAGGTGGTGATAAACAACAAGCGAGGCGGCGGCTTCAAGAAAGCCAAGGGGAAAGGTAGCATCGTTCTCAAGTGCGAGGCCGTGCGGATACATCGGGGGTTGCAGCTCCCAGTTGCAGTGTATGCGTATGCGTTGCAGTCATGTGAACGGAAAGTGGGTCAAGGTTGCAAACCCCCATAGTTCCAAACCCAGAAGGGGCGAGGGAATGAGACGATCACATGGTGTGCGGTTGCGCAAGGCAGAGGATGTGAAGAGGTATCCCAAGCTTGACATCTCCTTCCGAGTGGGAAGGCCGGTGGCGAGGGACATGGAATATCACAGTCTCCTACTTAAAGGATCATGGGACTTAGTAACTAGGGTTATAAACAAGGTAACTATATATAAACAATATACATATATCCTGCCGAGTGCGGGCGTCGGAGAGGGTTGGAACAAAATATATATATATATATATATATATACACATATAGATATATATATATATATATATATATATATATATATATATGGTCACCCCCCCAGTTAAGGCACTTATAACTGTACTTACTAAGTCCCATGAGCCTCCAAGTAACTTCACTGATTTCGACCTCCTGTTAGTGCATGGCAAACCTACAAACGTCTGTCGGAGGGCCGGCATTCTAGAAATTTAGCTGCGCAGATTGGAGGCTGATTAGCTGTGGGCTCTGCGGGAACCTGCCAAACTACAGTGGTTTAGGGCTTAGGGTTTAGGGGTGATGGTCCCTGCGAATTTGTTGGAGTTGCGAGATGGCCTTGCTGAAATTCGGTGCAAACTGATGATCCACCGGCTTTGCAGTCTCAGCCGACCGACAGGGGTTCTCGTCTCCAGCCACCTCGGTCGGTGGAAGCGCATGACTTTGGGGAGTGCGGCTCTTGGTGGGTATTCGCAGGGGCTTGGGCTTACAGCTTTCCCGACGCACACAGAGAGCTGGAGATTCCAATAAAGCAAGCTTCCGATGATAAGCAAGGCAGGCTACTCATGTTTGCAGATGCCTGCCTAGAAAAAACTGATGGGCCACATGTCACGACATGTCACGAGGCAGAGCTGCTGCTGCCTTCCAGAAGCGCAGCAAGAGTGGGATTTCAGGCGGGGTCGGCTGAGAGGTTGTTGGGATTGGTGATGGGGCTTCATTTTGCAGCTCGTAGCGCGGATTGGTCGTGTTGAGTACAAAGAAGCATGCTTGTGTTCTGTGAGATTGTTCTTCGGCAAGTTCGGCGCACGTTTGTTTCCCAGTGGACTTTCTTGGAATGTATGCTGGCTTCACCGTTGGTTCGATGAACCTGTTGACCCTGCAAAGGCCAGCGAAGGCCCGTCGATGTGTTTCAAGTCCTCTGTCCTAAGCTACTGGTTCGCCTGCGTGCCAAGCAGATGTTGCAGCCTCAGAGGTTCGCACTTCCCCTCCCACAAGCCTCAGGGCTAAAGCTCGTTTCAAGCATGCCACGGATGGGGAACCTTGTGACTTCTTAGCCCAGATACAAACTCTAAGGTCCAGGGGAGGAAGATATCATGTTCTGCTGCTAGTGTTGTGGAGGTTTGTCAGATGGGTCTTCTTCCGCCTGATGATCGTTTTTGGATTTT